AGCAAGAAGGAGGAGTTGTTGAGCAATCCAGAGAGTTACAGAACATTAATTGGTAAGTTAATATACCTAACTATGACCAGACCTGACATTTCTTTTTGTGTGTAGATTTTAAGTCAATTTATGCACTGTCCAACCAAAGCACATGTGGGTGTTGTAAGAGGAGTGCTGAGATATCTAAAGGGACGTCCTGGACTTGGCATATTTCTAAGTTTAGAGGGAAGACTTAAATTGGAGTGCTATTGAGACTTTGATTGGGCTTCATGTGGTATAATGAGGTACTCAGTTACTGGATATTTACTAAAGTTTGCTAGATCTTTAGTAATGTGGAAGACAAAGAAGCAAAACACAGTTTTCAAGTCTTTTGCTGAGGCCGAATACAGGGCGTTGAGCATGGCTACATCTGAGATTGTATAGGCATTGGGACTACTTAAAGATCTGAGAATTCAGCATCAGGAACCAGTGAATGTTTTCTGTGACAGCCAGGCGGCTATTCATATAGCAGCTAATCTAGTTTATCGTGAGCGTACTAAACACATAGAGGTAGACTACCACTTCATTAGAGAAAAGTGGGAACTGAAGCAAATTGATTTAAAACATGTAAGGTCTACTGATCAACAGGCAGATATTCTGACCAAGGCAGTTGGGGGAGATGTACAAAGGAAGTTATTAGTCAAGTTAGGGGCTATAGATTTGTACAACCCCAAACTTAAAGGGGAGTGTTAAAATAAAAGCCTTTGTAATTATTAGTATGTCGTATTACTCAACACGACACCTGCCTTCTTTAACCTTCTTGGTTTTATTTCCTTTTGATTATTGTATAAATAGGGATCGGCCCTTGATTCATAAACAGGGGTCCATGAGATGTACAATTTTTTAGTTCAATAATAAGTGAATTCCCATTTAGTGTAGTTAATTGGTATTGGGCCCAGTATTCAACACTTACTCTTCTACTAATATGGCATCCTCCATCACCCTCAATTGTTTTTCGTACATTTCTTTTTGGTGGATCTGGGTTGATATTGTATTTTTAACAGTTATAAAAAAGAAAACACTGAAAGGTAGAGGCCAATAATATAGGGACCTTTCTACTTGATTTGAAAGAGTCTCATTTTTTACAAGGTGATGGAGGTTGGGCTACGTTTCAATGGCAGCAAACCAAAGGAAGAGAGACAGGATGGAGAGAGAAAGAAGAAAGGAAGGGGTATTTCAGGAATTTACTGGCAGCCTAATCATTTTTCAGTTTAAAAAAAACAAATAATAAAAATACTGGGCTGACACATAAATTTAAACTTATCTGACTTGGCATATTCTCATTGGCCAGAACATAGATGAGCTGGTACTCAGAGTATCTAAGTATTTCTCGTATGGGAAAACTAAGAAGATAATGCATGTTTTTTTAATGGGAAAAAAAAGAAACAACTGAACTCCTAACATCAGGTCAAGATGGGGCCGCCAAACTTTCCAAATTCCAAGTTGGATCCACCTTGTAACATTGCTCAATGTTTAAGTTAGTCAAATTAGTGAAGCGCTGAGCTGTTCCTTTATTTGAGTTTGATCCTTTTTTTTTTCCCTATAAAAAATCTGGATGGATTAGGTCCCAAGAGCTTATTAGGATCATAATATGTTTTCAGATTTAAAAAACATTTATAAAGATACTTGCAAATGACCCATTAATAAAATTCTCATATTAATAGCAAGATTCAAACTTATGACATTATGGGTTATAAACTGATTTCTTATCGACTATTACAACTCTTGTTGGTATTTGATCAAAAGTTTTGAATGACCTACTTCGGATTGATTTTATATACTTCCTTTATTTTTTTAAAAAAATATAAAACTCATTTTATGGTGTAATTGATACTACAAAATGAATGAAGGAAGTATTTTTTTTTCCCTTCTCTCATTAAACTTGAAACATCATTATTTTGGGGTTTAAAAATAAAATAATAATAACAATTAGATTTGTGTCTTAATAGCCCTATTTTAATAGATGATGTGTAGTTTCTAAATGAACGTGCGAATTAATTCCGATTTGGACCACTTTTTTTCCGAATCACTATTTCAACTGATTCTTTAAAGTTTGTTTGGTTAAGTGGTAGGATATCAAATAAGCCTATTTAGATCCAAATAAGTGATTATGAATCATGTTTGTCTTGTTTGAATAATTTTTAAATCATGATTTTACCATTCTACTGCATTTTTAGGATTAGCAATAAGGAGTAGCTTATGCGTTTGAAAAATTTTGATGAACCTTCAGCAACCAAATTTTCTACAATGTATCCTTCCACATTCTTCCAAAGATCTCTCCTCAAATATTAATTTCATATTGTTTTTAGTAATTATACATCGAGAAACAATTTTAATAAATGAAAACTAAACATAGTCACAATTCTTAAAATCACTTATATAAAAATATCCATATAGAAATTATGATCAACCAATATCATTTATCGCTATTGTTACTTATAAAATTCACGATTATCTAAAATCACAATTATTTACCACTAATCCAAACAGACACTTATTAGGTTAGTTTGGAGTAATACTTGGGGGGTGTTTGAGTGTCATCCCAAACTATGGTTTGGGGAAAGAATGAGCCAAACAGGGAGAAATAATTTGAAACCATGGTTTGGGCCAAAACCATAGTTTCAGGAGAAGTGAATCTATTCTGCTTCTAGCTCAAATTGAAGAGTATGATTGTGCTTGTCAGAGTAGATCTCAACAATAATATGACTTTAACACCCCTCAATTATTTTTTATAACCATATTTAATCTTATATCTTATAAATATATATACACATATTAATTATTTATTAATTACATTATCTTATGTATTATTAATTATGTTGGTAAAAAATACATTATTAACAATTTTATTCCTTCAAATTAAAATATATTATAAAATCTATATTTTATATAATCATCATATTAACTTATGCCTTTTTTTAATAATTTGCATATATAAAAAGTGTTTCTGAAGACAACTATCCAAACACTCTCACTTTATCAAAATCATTTTTTCACAAAATCTATTCTCTTGAGAATCTATTCTCCGGATCTGAACCATGGTTTGAGAGGTGTTTGGATGAAACCAAATCATGGTTTGGAGAATAGCTTCTGGATAATAGATTTTGTGAAAAAGTGATTTTGAGAAGTGATAGTGTTTGGATAGTTGTTATCAAAAGCACTTTTTATATATAAATTACTAAAAAAGACATAAGCTAATATAATAATTACATAAAAGATAGATTTTATGATATATTTTAATTTGAAGAAATAAAATTGTTGATAATATATTTTTTACCAACATAATTAATAATATATAAGATAATATAATTAATATGTGTATATATATTTATAAGATATAAGATTAAATATGTTTATAAAAAAATAATTGAGGGATATTAAAGTCATATTATTGTTGAGATCTACTTTGACAGGCACAATTATACTCTCCAATTTAAACCAGAAGTAGAATAGATTCACTTTTCCTGAAACTATGGTTTTGACTCAAACCATGGTTTCGAAGTATTTTTTTAAAAGTGACATCTCATCCAAATCATAGTTTTGGAGAGCATCCAAACATGCCCTTGATTTTATCCAAGCACCTTTTTAGGTTGAGCGTGGGAGTCCAAACGATGTGTTCAAAGAATAACTATAGGTTTATAATGCAACCAAGAAAGTTTCAAAGGGCACATCCTAATTTCAAGATTCTCCTTGGATGTCTCTCCTGCCATCATTAAAATTTCTTAGATCTTGTATCAACCACGTCCTTTGCGACAGGCGTCAGTGAATTAATTTAACAAGATGAACCGAACGAATATAAGCATTTGTAATCATTCTCCATCAAATCATTTATCAAAGTACATGAAAAGAAAGTTTTGAAAATTTTTATATTTTGACTTTTCATAAGTAAGTGACATTTTAATTTTATCACTCCTTCTAATTTAGCATTTAATTAATCAGTATAAAAATTGGAAAAAAATGCATTTTGATATTATCAAGTGATACGATATTTTGATTCAATCATTTGATTTGGTCATCATTGAAATATTTACAATATTTGTTTATTTTTATCATATTTCTGTCTAAAATGTAACATCATTCCCATCAGTAATGAATTATTTCACTTCCTATTATTTGGTCACTTCAAACAATTTAATCCAGCAGAACAAGTTTTCAAGTAAGCAAATCATTGCTGGGCGGAGAAATAGAAAAACAACTTACGCAATCTATTAAGAAATAAGGGGGGAAAAAACAAAATTGATCAACAAAATTTTAAGAATTTTAAAATTAAATTAAAAATGACCGATGTACCAAACTGAAATAAATTTATCCTAAAAGAATCTTTTCTCAAGAGCTTTGCAATTTTAATTATGGTGTAAAATAATTACAAGTCACAGCTGCCACAAGGAGGCCATTGTTTTAGCTTTAGGTGACCCGGAGCGCCGGGGCAACGGTTCATAGAGTTTTGAATTTTATGTTTTGCCCCTATATCTGCTTGAAAACCGAAAAATGGACCCCATTGAAATTGCAAGACGTACCTGTACTTCATCCTGCCCATTCAAGGAATGATTCATTAAACTTTTCGACTTCTTGTACATCATTTCAATGCATCTCCCCAACCAAGCAATACGTGTTCAAATCTCTTGCTGGCTTTTCCAGAAGTCAGAACCCAACTTTCGTCGTAACGTCGCATTGTCCTCTTTTTCCCACAAAACCTTTCCTTCGGTCTCTCTTTTTTTTTTTTTTTTTTGGACTCATCCTTCGGTCTCTCTTGAATCCTCATGTTTCGCACATCGTCCTTGACTCAGTCATCTTTCGCGGTGAAGCGTTCCAGGCAGAGAGAATACGGGAAACGAATCAACTTTTGAACTGAAGGAACGTTAAGATCAAGTTTTGTTTTGTTGGTCAAGTTAAAGCTTGAACTTTGCTTCCTAGGTGGGGCTGACTTGAGAAGCTAGAGATACAGAGGCAGAGAAATAGGAGAAGATGGGATGGGTATGGCTTTTTGCTCAATATTTTTCGGTGCAAAGCGTTCAGAACGGTAAGCTAAGCTAACTGTTCATGCTTCTGTGTTTCTTTTACTTCTTGATTTTGGTGGAAAATGAGAATTAAAGAGGGATTCAAATTCTGGGCTTCTATAAGACTTCTGGTATGAGCTAATTGGTCTGAGTAAGAAACATAAATTGAGCGTTAGTTTGGGTGGTACAAGGTATGATAGACAGATATAATTTAAAGCGCTTTTCTAAGCATTCAATCGCTGAACTGTTTAGAGTATTTCTTTACCTTGAAACCTAAAACCGTTTTAAACTATATTGTGAAGATTCAAGCTTAAATGTACTGTTTTGTGTCTCTTCAATGGGCAATTCAGAGTAGTCTTCTTTATGCAGAAAAGCACGAGGTAAGAAAGTGCCTGCATGGAGAGTCTTTTCTCTGAAGGAACTACACTCAGCAACAAACAATTTTAACTACGATAACAAGCTTGGAGAAGGGGGATTTGGCATTGTATACTGGGGCCAGCTTTGGGATGGATCACAAGTGAGATTAAATAATTTCTCTTCAATTCTTTGTTGCATGCTATAAAATCAGCTTTCGTTTATATTTGTGCTCTATCTCATTATCCTAAATGTGACTAGTTGTGGTAATTTGGTTTTCCACAGAAGTATGCTTACCGATCTGGCTGCTTTCTGCCATAGATGTTCTTTTCTTCTGCTAAGACATGTCTATTTTGGAAAAATGTAGATCCATACTATGTTTTTACTGCGACTTCAGTTGGGCTGTCTTATCTGTTAGTGAACCAAAATGATTTGCTTTTTCTAATATTGGACTTGGATGATTAGTGCTTTTATCCCACAAAAGAATAACTGTTGTTTCTGTTCCCTGGAGGACAGATCTGTAGAGTTCTTGGATAAGGTCATAATGTGGTATCTGTCCCAACAAAATAAAATCACAAGTTGCTAATGCTTTTAATTTCTCTGGTACATAGATGATAGAATAGCATAGTTTTGTTAATTCTCTCCTGTTTCAGAATTCTCTTTGGGGCGTCTTCTTGTCACTTTATACCCTTATATAATCCATGTACATCTCCAGATTGCAGTGAAAAGATTAAAAGCCTGGAGCAACAAAGCAGATATGGAATTTGCTGCCGAAGTTGAGATATTGGCCAGAGTAAGACACAAGAATCTTCTTAGTCTACGTGGCTATTGTGCTGAAGGGCAAGAAAGACTAATTGTGTACGATTATATGCCAAATTTGAGCCTACTCTCCCATCTTCATAGACAGCACTCTCCAGATTGCCTTCTTAATTGGGACAGGCGCATGAATATCGCTATTGGGTCGGCCGAGGGAATTGCGTAAGTGTTCGTTGACCTAAAGAGCGCAGATTCTGACACAGATACAGAGCAACACAATAACATATACTATTTTCGATCCTAAATATAAGTCATTTGCTTCGGAACACCAAACCTAACTTCAAGCAACTTTCTTAATATATATGAGGTGGGCATTTGTGACTTATATTTAAAACTGGAGGTATTATAATTTTAAGATACAATTTAGAGTCTTCCAGTGTGTCTGATAACCTTTTCAATTATTTGTGCTTCACAGCTTATTTTCTGATCTGGTCAGTTTGTTAATTCGACAACATTTTGTTTTCATTCAGATATCTTCACCACCAAGCAACACCCCACATAATCCACAGGGACATCAAATCAAGCAATGTGTTGTTGGATGCAGATTTCCAAGCTCGGGTTGCTGGTTTTGGTTTCGCAAAGCTGATTCCTGATGGGGCAGCCCATGTGACGACAAGAGTTAAGGGAACCCTTGGCTACCTCGCGCCAGAATATGCCGTGCTCGGTAAGGCATCTGAGAGTTGTGATGTCTACAGTTTTGGGATTCTCCTGCTAGAACTTGCCAGTGGCAAGAAACCAATTGAAATACGAAGTACTTCAATGAAGCGATCGATAGCTGATTGGGCACTACCATTGGTTATTGAGAGGAGATATAGTGACCTTGCAGATTCAAAGCTAAAGGGTAATTATGTTGAGGAAGAACTAAAAAGGATGATTCTTGTGGCACTTGTCTGTGCTCAAAGACAGCCTGAGAAGAGACCCACCATGCTTGAGGTGGTAGATCTGCTAAAAGGAGAATATAAGGATAAGTTATCTGATTTAGAAAAGAATGAATTGTTCAGAAACCCTCCAGATTTAGAAGACAATGATGGGGCATCAGTTGCTGAAGATAGTTCAGACTTCATCTCAGAAGTGAAGGAATCAACATTTGAGATGAAAGAGAGTAGTGGGCTATAGTCTTGGCAAAAATAGCTTAAACCATGAACATTTTGTATTGTATTTATACATATTGTAAAGCTCTCTCAACTTGCAGTTTATTGTTATCGCGATCCAGAAAGGAAGCACGAGTTTATTGATGTTGGAGGTTTGAGTGCATGTTGATTTTGTCATGTTTAGAATAACTGATATTTGTGCATTGTTTTTTTTTTTTTTCCTTGACATGATTTTATATTACAATATATATTATGGTGTCAAATACATGAAAAATTAATTTAGAATACTTAGTATTACTAGAAAAAATATTTTGAGTCTTGGATACTACTTAATCAATTTTTAATACAAAATATATTTTTATAGTGTTGAATGCATCAAAAATTAGTTTAGAATATTTAGTGTTGTCGGAAAAATAATTGAAAGTGGCAGACGATGCTTAACTCCTTTTCAAATTATTACCTATTTTATTTTGTTCTAGTTTTGGCAACCATCATACTATATATTCCTCTGTTGGAAGTTTGAGTGCATGCTGGTTTTGTCATGTTTAGAGTAACTGATATTTGTGCAGTGTTTTTTTCCTTTCTTGACATGATTTTGTATTTGGATGTTTTGAAACACTTTATGTGAAACAGGGAACCATAATTTATACTCCTCCGGTTCTAAATGTAAGACCCTTATACTCTCTAGTATAAGGGTCTTACATTTAGGACCGGAGGAGTATTAAAATATAAGTTTCAAGATCTTTACCTTTGAAAACACCTGTATAAAACAAGCATTCGGCTTTTGCAGTTGTCACCTGCACGAATGAATAAGACGCAATGCAGTAAAGCGAGAGAGGAGGCTCATCAGGACGAAAAGTTGGCTAGCAACACGATTCAGGTCAATCAACATATCATTAAGAGTATTTTGAGTACTGTTCATTGAGGCATATTTTCTTTGTGGGCTGCAAGGGATAGAAACAAACTTGGTTGGGCTAAGCTTTAGGTAAGCAGGTCTGTGCTTGCAGTAAATATTTATAGCCTGAACTTGCATATAAGCTTCTTTTTTTTTTTTTTTAGGTTTGAGTTTGAGCTTTTAAAGAGCTTGACAAAGCCTGAAGCCTGTTTAAAGGCCTACTTAAAATGTAGGCCTTTAAATAGGTTTAAAAATCTATACTCTCTAGTTTATGTATAACTCTTCAAACTTATTTAAAAGCTTATGTTATATCTTAAAAGTCTAGAATCTATTTTCACTTGCAATATAAGAGTGTAGCAAGAAAAAAAAAAAGAATGCGTAGTGATAACAGTTTTAAGATCAAGTGAAGATAAGAAAAACTAATCATCTATTGACAAAATAAATACATTTTCTAAAATTAACCAAGCATAACAACTGGGATGTAAAACTGAATTTTACTTTGTTTGGTTTTCTTACACAAATTGGGCATACTCTTTCCACTGAGATTAAAATATTTCATTTAGGCACCACTAAAATTTTCTCTGCAACTTTTGTAAAGATGGTGTCATGACATTGGGATAGACGCGGAGTAGTTCCTGCTTCTGGATTTTCTTTCAGTGCACAGCAAATTTGGAGAGTCATTAAGGAGAACAAGGACCTTGACCTACCTGCGCGCAAGGTGTTGTTTAAGTAGAGTACCGCTTCTTTTTTTTTTGGGGTTAAATACATATATATTGATTGATGGTTGATTTAATTTGATCATTTATACATGATTCACTGTGTAGGTCATGGTTGCTACTGTGCGCGGTGAAGAAATTGCTAATGAGAAATATGCTGCTTTTGGTACAAATGAGGTATCAATATTTCTTTCCATTCAATCCCATAACCATGGGCACTGGGGCAGTCCAAATTATTTACATAATGGAAATTGTTCTGTAATCATTAGGAATGGTGTCAATTGGAGGAGGCTGTGCAATCTGGCCTAATTCCTAGATTTGGGAAAATGCTCAATTCAATTCTTGGTAATTGCCTTTCAGATCTATTGACTAATTTTATGTGGCGTCTTTATTTTGAGTTGCTCAGTTATTGAACAGTGAATACCATGTTTATGCTATGTAAGCTTTACACTAACCTTCTTTAACTTTTTATGCATTTTGACAATATTTTATCTTAAACTTTAATTCTTGGCATTCATATAATTGTTTAAATGATTGCTTTCACAGTTAAAAGATACTGCTGCAGAGAAAAACTTGCTGAAACGTAGCGAGCCGGCTTAGTGGGCATAGGTGTCATAGCCGCAGTAGGAGCTACAGCCATTCCCCCATGGTGGTTAGTCCAACATACTTCCAGTGTGGCTGATGTGCTTGTGCAGTTGAATTAACTCCCAGGTCTAAATTAGTACTTTTGATTTGATTGAGGTTGGTGGTTGTTTGCTAATTGCTTACATTAGGGATAACGAGTTCTAGAAGATACTATTCTAGGTCTCATTCTCGCCCCAGGTCTAGGTCTCTGATAGGACCCTCTTATACACAAACTTACAATGAGACTAAAAGTCCAAAATAAACAGGGAACACTTGAGATTGATAATGGTTTTACTGAATAACAAGGGAGTAGATGACTTTTACACACTGATTCAAAAGCTATATAACCTACAATGGAAGTGACGATTACAAACTAATAAGGAACAGAACAAGATACACAAACAGAACAAGATACTACACAATGGACTGATAAACTTGCCAAACTTTCGAGAGGTTGGCTCTCTCCACCCTAAGGGCCAAGATCACAGTTCAAATTCTCCACCCCCCCGCTGAACCCCAAGAGATGGTTTATAGACCTGAAAAGTGAGTTTCACCACCCCCAATTCATAGACCTTGACTATACCAGTCCTATACCTACCCTACTCCCTATTCTTTCTTCAGAATAGCAAGTCCAGCTTCTGCACAACAAAAAGTAATTTTCCCTTTTTATGCATCTTCCTAAACGTGATCCTATCATTTCCCTCCCCTTAAGCTTCACCTTGTCCTCAAGGTGAAAATTAGAAATAAGGATTGGTGGCTTCATCCCTGTACGGCTTCTTCTCTTGTTTGCTTGTGCACACCAAAAGGAACAAACGAATTCCATTTTGAACCTTTGATGTAGATGATTCAATCCCTTCAATAGATTCTCTAGAATTTATATCAACATAGGCATGGGACTCTTCATAGACAACAAAATCAATTATAGTAGCCCAAGGTTCAATGAAACTCGGCTGAAAACCAGTTGTCATTTTGCTGATAGATACTTTGTCAATAGAAATTGCCGGCAACAATAATTGAACAGATAGAGACTCCTCAAGAAAACCACTATTTCTATCACTGCATTCCACCTCCCCCCAATAATGGACCAGCAATGAAACCATAATATTTTGATAAATGGCCCATTGTGCGTCAAATTCATCACTAGCTTCAGTTAGCAGCTTAAAAACAGCAGAAATAGCTGAAACGTTACGCAGTACAGACGCAAACTTCTCACCTTTAACAACTTGAGTATTGATAATATTTATTAACACCCCCTTACCTGAAATTATGACAGTCCATACAGTAATCTCCAGCACAACGAACCCTTTATCCATTAACAACAATCGAAGTTGAAGATGTGTGGTTATTCTCCCTCGTTTCGTCCATAATTCCCAAAAAACACCTCCAGCCCAGACCCACTCATCAATGTCTTTAACACATAGAGAGGAGTAAACTAGAGGCAATCTAGATTGATGGGAGAATTTGGGTACACCGACTGCCTCATTAAAGCTAAAGAATGGTGCAAAAACAGAAGCAGGTGTTGCCGAAATTTTTTGTAGAAAAACCACGGGCTTCTCACATTTGTTCCTCTCCTTGTTTAGAGTTGTGGCTCTCTCTTTTCTCTGTGTCTCGGCATTAGATAGGGAAGAAAACACACCTGTGCCGCTAAGCTCGTCTCAAAAAGTCTCTTCAACTAAACCAAGGCGCTTGCATGTAGAAGAGAAATAAGCACATGCCTCTCTTTTTGCTGTACCTCTGTTGAATGGGTGATAAAAGACGGTTGGCTTAATGGTAGTGGCTAGCAGAAGCGAAACAGTAACAATCCCATTCCTCTTCCCTGCTTCTATTCCATACACTAGTCGCACATCACAAACTCTTCTACAGCGCTTTTTCTTAGAATTTTCGGTATCCCAAATTCTATGTTTCTTTCTCCACTGTTTCGCTGCCTCTGAGCTCTTCAAGTCGCCGCTAGCGAACACAGAAGAAGAAGAAGAAACGTTCCCCTGTTTGATTTCGTTTTGTCGAATTTTTTGAACTTGCGATCGCGAAAACCATTCCCCTGTTGGTCTCAGTCACGTGCGCTACTCTTGAGTAATAGGGCTGGGCCAAACTTAACTCAGGCCCAAGTGTGGAGTGTTGGGTTATGTTAACCCTAAAGCCTCTTTTGTCATCATTTGACTGCAATGACTCGTTTCGGCGCCGTTGGCTTCTCACGACTGCAACGCTGCCCCTGCCCCCACCTGTCTCTTCTGGAACCACTTTGCTGTCATTGATATCAACTTTTACCCAGTCTCTCCCCTGCTTGTCATATTCCCAACGTTGTGCCCGAACTCTCTCAACATCCCATCCTTCCTTCATCTCGTTATTTGATTTTTTTTGCTTTTCTTTTGGATTGTCACGATAGATTTCTTCAAACTTTTCTTCTGGCAAAAGAGGTTGTAATTTGAGTTGATGTTCAGCCTCACGTCCTTTATCTACTTTTTCCTTGGTTGTGGCTTCCTTTGGCCTCATGAAATCACTTCTATTAGCATGGGAGGACTTTGGTAACGTTACAGGCTGTAACTTAGGTTGAGCTTCTTCAATCTTCTCCTCAAGTGAAAAAGATGACAGCTCAAATTGTTGTTCAGGAGTAGTCTCTTTCTTTCCTTCTTCTTGCTCATCTGGTTCCTTCTCATCTTTTTGCTCTTCTGCTACCTCATCGTCAACCTCCATTTTTGCCTCTGACTTTTCCTCTGCTTCCACAATTTATTCTCTTCATGTTCTTTTCTCACTCTTCTGTCCTCAGTTCTTGTTTGGTGGAGAATCTTTTTATTACCTCTCTTTTGAGCTCACTCCAACTTTGTATGCTTCCTCGGGTGTCAAACCAAATAAGCCAGTTCATAGCTCTTCCCCAAAGACATGCTACTG